CAACATCATAAACCGTGGCCTTAACAGTCACAGGATCAAGAGTATGATCAGAGCCATTGCTCTTACCATAATAGTACTGAATCAGCTCAAGTTTGTACGCAGGACCAAGAACAACAGCGACAGTGAGCAATACATGGATATCAATCCAGTATTTGCTAAACTTGGCCCACATTTTTTCGGTCATTTCACAAATGATGCTATCAGGATCAGTCATCCACTTAAGCAGATTCAATTTCAAGTCACAGATCCTTCGAAAGAATATATTAGCAGTAGGATAATTGCTTCCAGAAAGAAGCTCAGAAATATTTCCGAAAATCTCAAGCTTTTTTGCTAATAACAGTAGCAAACATCCAATCATCACTGCTAGGCAAGGAAGTATAGTTAGGTTCACTCTGATTCAAACGAGTGAACACTTCCTTGTATGGAATTGCAGATTCAAGCATACGCAAGGTGGAATTCCACCTAGTAGGGCAGCCAAGTGCAAGTTTCTTTCCAATACAAACATTCTTTTGCCTAGCAGTCTCTTCAAAGAACTCAAGTCTCCTAGGATTTGCAGTCCAATACACCACACGTTCCCTTATCTTTTCAATCCCATCTTATATAATTTCAAGCCCATCTTTAACAATTAAGTTAAGAATGTGAGCCGAACATCTCATTTGCAGGAAGGAACCATTCAATAGAAAGTGAGACATAACCATCTTCCTTTTAATCTTTTCAATCATGGCATCATTTGTAGAACAGTTGTCAAGAGTTATAGTGGATAACTTACAGTCCACATTCCATGACATTAGGGCCTCTCGGAGCACACTTGCAAGTTTCTCACTAGTATGGGGGGCAGGAACATAGAGAAACCTGTCATACACTCACACAAACATCAAATGAAGCTCGAAGTCAGTTTCTGTTAAGTGTTAAACAAATAAACATCCAAGAAAGAACAAATTGAATAAGCAATTTACCTTAACAAGTGGCTCCTATGTTTCCAATTGTTGTCAACATAATGAGAGGTTACAGCCATGTAAGCCCTCTTCTGATTACTTGCTGTCCACATGTCAGTTGTGACAGCAATTCTACCTTTGTTACCATCAATCATTTTTTGAATCTTTTTCCTCTTAATCGAATACAAGGCAAGAATATCACTCTTGCAAGTGTTTCTACAGGGAACTTTAAACAAGGGCTGCAGAGAATTGCAAAAAATTTTGAAATACAAGTGATCCACCATACCAAGTGGATACTCGTGCATCAAAACCATAGTGGCAAGTTCCCTCCTTGAAACCTCTGCATTGAACTGACCAGTACACATTTCTTTCTTTCCAATCAAACCATTAGGGAGGAAATTAGTGGCAATGTTTTTCTGATTACCATCATGAATTTGTTTCTGAACACACACCTTTTTATGGTTCCTCAAATGAGAGGTACCATTGCTGGTGTCACCACCAAGAATCTTTCGACAGTACTTGCATCGTGCTTTCATTACACCATCTTTATCCACAAACCTTGTAAAGTGAGGCCAAACATCACTTTTCAATGGACGTTTGGCCCCAAAAGGCAGGGGAGAGGGCTCTGACGCACCACCACCAGCAGCACTAGTATCAGCATTGCCATTCACAACTGCTGGTGCATCAACAACAATCACTGATTGATGCTGTTGTGGTTCAGGCAGAGGCTGAGGATTGGGGGGGTGGGAGTGGGGATTGAGAATTGGGGGCGGGAGATAATTCAACTCCTTCCATTAATTACCTGCAATCACCCGAGAAAACAAACCAATGAAACCAATCAGTCGCTGCTAAATTCCTTGAAACCTGAAAGAACTAGGAGAATCAAGTAGTGTTACCTTTCTAAGCTTCGTTACTGATCAATGACAACCCCGCCACCAGAAACCCTAACATCAATCAACAAAGTCCCGAGGTATTAGACAAGTCACAAGAGACAAGTTGTTGAAAAAAATCTTGCAAATCCCAGACGAAAGGCTAAGAAGAACACTTACGGTTGTGCTCCTTCACCTTGCAGTTGCAGTGAGCCAGTGACTGGAAATAGCAATTGCAGACAGCTGCTAGCTTACTACTTCTCTCTGAGTGATCTGCTTTCTGAGAATCTGGCAATCTACAGCAAAAAACTCAAGTAAGGTATTTATAGGCGCATGCATGAAGGGGAAAAAGAAGATGGTATCGAACTCGAAGAGTCGATAAAGGGAAAATGGCGTTGTAATCGCCATCGGGAATGGCTCGATTCGAAAAAATCGAAGGGTTTGCTCTTATTGATTGGGTGTCTGCTCTTAAAAACAATGAATGTAATGATTTTGTGCCGTTTTTGTCTACAATCAAAGAGCATATTGCGAGATTTGAGGAGAAGAAGAAGGGATAGGGTTGGGGATTCGATTTTTTAGAGCGGCGCTAGGGTTTGTAAGGGGATGAGATTTTTTCGCGAAATGAACTGGGGACTGGGGTAGGGTGGATATTCAGAGGGGAAGCGGGTTTCGGGTTCTCTCGGGGCGGATATTCAGAAACCCACCACCGCCCGACAACCGGTTGTAGCGGGTAACGGATTTCCCACAAACCGTCAACTATCCGTTTGACCGGGTTTTAACCGCCACAAACCGGGGCGGGGTCGGTCGGGCACCCGGAATTCGGGTTCAATTGACAAGCCTAGATAGGCTAAATCCCGACGAATCCGATTGTACTTCCTTAATTCATCTTCATAGCTTTTATCAAATCAAAGACACCATTTCTAGGACACTGTATCCAGAAACACCACTATAAGGACCTTGGGGGTGAGCAAGAGGGAGTTGAAGATGTCTGCACCGATGTAGTTCTCCTAGCTAGGGATGGGCATGGTTCCAGTCCGGACCAAATCGGACCAAATTCAGAGAATCACGGTCTAATAGTAAAAGATAACATATGAACAACATCTATTCGATCCGGTGTGGTCCGATGTGGACCAACCCATTATCCAGCCCTGCTCCTAGCTTTCTATCCTGACAACCTTTCTTTAATTGGCGTTCACCTATCGATTAAAATGGCCAAATTTGCTGTCATTATGATGGTTAAGGAACTTTCTAAGATAACCCACCATCAATAAACACGATTAAAACAACTTTTGCAGGTGATCCCGGAAAATGATAGACGAGGAACTACAAAAGTAAGCTATGATTCCTATTGCAACGTTTCACGTGGAGAGCTAATAACGAGAAGAAAATAACTGAGTACTATTGCCGACTACATAATTGAAGGAACCCTACCGCCATTTAATTAGACGGCGAGAAGTACTCTACCGGCGATGGGCCGACTAATTACTTACTGGTACTTGAGTGGGACGAAGGAATCTTTTCTCATTCCAAGGACACACGTTTACACGTTAACAGAAGAAGGCATCGTGGTTACGTACAAGCATTGTGTTTGTGTATCAATAAAGAGGGGAAGCCAACAATAATTTAGACAGTCACATTGCTGAAAGAGAAACATATTCCTTAAAATGGAATGGCTCATAAGTGGAAGACCCCACAGCTCTCGTTGTTGCCTGGTGTTCAGAAATGAACAAACCATCGCATTTCTGGTTCATGTTTTTGTTTTGGTTCAGTTCCCAAGGCATTGTAATGAAGGTGGTTGATTTCATAATACTTCTATTCCAAAGGAAGTGTTAATATTGATGGTTATGTAGATTTAAACAAGGATCACTTTGTTACGAGACGAGCCATCGTGACAAATGAGAAATTTTTGGGCTCATCTATTATTAGTAATTAGTTGGTATTTTGTTATTAGTATGAGATATTAGTATTTAATTAATGTTTCTTGTAAGGGAAGAGAAGGAATTCTAGTAGGAAGAGGATAAGGAGAGAAGTTTAGCCTAGGGTGACAAGGAAAAGGATTTGGTTGTGTAACTCTATAAATAGAGGCTTTGTCTATGAATAAAGGTATGAAGAAAATTGGAACCCAAATCTAGTTTATTGTCTTTCGTTTTATCGCAATTTATCGCGTTTTATCGTAGTTTGTTAGTTTTATCGAAAGGAGGTTACGTGTCAGAAACACATTTATTTGGGGTTTCTATTATTATATTAGGTAGGATAATTATAATTATGGTTAGTAGAGATTTAGCCGTATTAGGATTATTATTAGGGTTTTCCAGTATTTCCCTATAAATATGTACTTTGGGTTTACGTCATAAGAAATCAAGAACAATATTAAGAAGAATCTCCTAAACCATAGTTTATCCTCTCAACTCCTAATTTCTATTCTCTCCTAATCCAAGGCTTCGGCCGATTCTCAATTCAATTCTATTCTATTCTTTCTCATCTAAATCCCTAATTCTTTCTCTCAACCCTAAATCCCTAATTGTGACGAGCAATTGTGAGTGTCGAAGATCAGTCCTGAGAGACCCTAAAAGCGGGTTTCTTACATTACGAGTCAAGAATTCTTCAATTCCGTATCTCATAACACACTTGTCCAAACTAGATATGATATCATGTTATGAACTATTTGATTCTAATGATTTAATTATAGATTTTATAGTTATTCTCTTACAAAATGTAAGGCCAAAATATTTTTGAATGATGTGGGAATGATATACATATATGATACTTCATCAAGTATAACGAGATTATTCACGAATATAAAATATGTCACTTACTAAATATTAGTGTATTTCACCAGTCATGAACAAAGTTATTAGTTATAGATAAAAAAAATTAGATAGATTTTGGTGTAAAAATTCAAACGCACAATATAATCAATGTTTTTATACACACATAACTACTAGCCCAACGATTTGAGATAAGCTATACACAGTTTTGGTTTTCTTCGACATAATGCATACTGGAGGAGAATACACAACAAACTAGGCCCGTTCCTTCAAATCTTTCTCATGGGCGAGAGGTACACAAAATGGGCTCTCACTTAGGCCCGTTTTCAATCTGTTTTCCAGGCTTAACGTACTACTAATTGCCCAATACTTCATGGGCCTAGTTATAAAAAAGTCCAATCCATAGTTCAAAGTTGAGGGGAAAATGTAGTTGACCTCACGGATAGGGAGGAGTGTCGTGGCTTCTTTCCATTCGAAGCTACGCCAAAGCTTTTCCACCTCACGGATTCGGATATGGCAAGCCAAAAAGCCGCGCCACCCATTTCTCCACCTCACAGTCACAGGTCAGCGCTCCTTCCCACTTCCTTCATCGCCATGGCTGAATCACAATACCACACTAGTCATAACCCTAACCCCTACAATGCCACAATTCACAGCAGAAATCATTGACTCTGGAAAATATTCATAGGTTAGCAGAGGATAAAACTTGAACCTATACTTTTATCTTCCTCTCCCTCTGTGGAAATCATCGACTCTGGAAGAGATTTTGCGTCGCCATTTCAAGCAGACCCAGAAATTGTTCCTGCTATGGAAAAGCTGCAAATCCCATTTTCCAAACCCTATTCCAGATTCGGAACCAACCCGGATCCCCAATTCGACCGACCCATCAGAATCGGTGGTCTGATCCAGAAACCGGCGGGTAGAGTAATCAGGCCGAGAATTAGAATCCAGGGGCGGCGGCCTATCCAGCGCGAGGTTTCCGGCGGGAACCCAGGGGAAGTACTATCGGCGGCGATTGAGGAGGAGGAAGAAGAAGAAGAAGACGAGCTGTGTCCGGTGGAATGCGTGAGGGAATTCAAGACGGACGAGGAACTGCTGAAGGTGATCGAGAAATCAAAGGCGACTGGGGCGCTTGTGGTGGTGGATTTCTACAGGACTTCGTGTGGGAGCTGCAAGTACATCGAACAGGGGTTTTCCAAGCTCTGCAAGGGTTCCGGCGAAGAGGGCTCTCCCGTCATCTTCCTCAAACACAATGTGAGCACTCTCTTTTTTCTTCTCCAACCTTCCATACATTTACTAAATTTGGACATGAGAAGTTTGGGTACGACCATGTTAAGAATTTAGTTTATCCCAATTGTTTAAATCGTGCACTTGAAGTTACAATCTATTTGTTCTGACTTCTGCGTACGAATAAATCGATGCAGCACCTGGGTAATTACAGAACAAGATCAATTCTTTCATGTCACTTCATAGTCTCGAGTTATTGATATGAATTGGTTCTCGTCGTCGTTGCAGGTGATTGATGAATACGATGAAGAATCCGAGGTTGCGGACAGACTTAGGATCAGGGTAAGGAGATCTTTTCTTCTGTTTGATTCTGGTTGTCAAGAGAAGAGTTTGTCTAGAGAGAGGCTTTGGAATTGGTTACACATAAAGTGTTAGTAATGTTGTTTTGTATGTGGTCCGGATTTTGGTTGCAGGCGGTGCCGCTTTTCCATTTCTACAAAGATGGGGTGTTGGTGGAAGCATTTCCCACCAGAGACAAACAGCGGATTACAGAGGCCATTCTTAAATACACGTCTTCATCTTCTCCATCAGCTCAAGAAACTTGATGCAAGTTCAGACTGCAACGTATATGGCCCATTTGTAAAAAAAAAAAAAAAAAAGAGTCTCTTATTTTAGCATTTTGAATGATAAATGCAGACATTAGAGGGTATGAGCTTGATTCTGCATCTACCCAATTCTGGAACCAGAACTGAAGCAACTCTAATCCTGATGCTGTATGGATTGGATATATGTACTTCAATGTTCAATATACCAGGAGATCAAATGAATAGAAAAATAAGACGGGTTTAGAATCTTGGTGTCAACAATCACCATTGTAACGGAAAATGGTAGTAATGTCGTCAAGCCTGGTAGAAATCTGTTCTATGTGTGTGGAGTTGAAGTATTAGTGTCACTGGATGAGGTCCAGGGCTTCAAACAAGTTGCTCTTATTGAGGCTCTCTTGAAGGTACATAAAGTTTACCGATATGGATTATCGATCTGGCTTGTAAAGCGCATATTACTAAACCGACAATGGTATAATCCGGTTTGAGAACCTTGATTGTCAGTCTGTTTTACTGGGGTTTCTGACAACACATGTTTGGTAAATATATAGGGGCACCATGGAAAGAGCTGTTACGAAAGAAGGATCAGTTTGTCATAAACCAGTTGATCCTAATAACTTGAGTTGTTTAGAGACGGTTATGTTGGATCTTATACCATCCCATGTATAGTACTTAAACCGTTTTTTTTACTAAAAGTGGCCCAAAAAGGCTAAAACCTTGCTGTGTGGTACTGCTCTGACAAATGGTTACTTCAATTGGTATATAAATTGATGATACAAAAATGGTACACCAGGAAAAAAGTTACTGCATGGACACAGTGAGTTCTCTTCCGAAGTTATAAAATAGAACTAGGCAAGGCAAAGATGTCAGTCTGGCTACTGGGACTCTCTGTGCTTTCCCCCACGTATTTATCATTACAGATTCACGTGTGTTACTTGATGACCCTGCATTTGTAACCTGTCACAGAAATGGTAAGCTTTTCTTTCATGGCTTTGAAGGGGAAATGGTAAAATTTTGAGGACTTGTCAATGGTCAATCATTGTGGAGATGGCTCATGTGAATTGGTAAGAATTAAGAAAGTGTAAATTTCAGCAGTAAATTCTTCTCATTTTCAAGATTTCGTTTGAAGGAAAGAAGGGTGAATGATGAGGGTGGAGACCTGTATCAAAAAGATTTCTTAGTTTAATAGTGGCACGATAAGTCGTTAAGTTATAGTAGTTTGATTGATTTTGATGGACTTTACTCCAGTATTCCCCTTCGGTGTGTATATATATATATATATAGTGGAATATTAGTGGTAAATTCGATTTATAGCCAAATTAAAAAGAAAAGAAAAGACGAAGATGAGAAACATATGCATTGAGATGTTCGAGTACATAACTATCGCATGTACGAACTTTACAGGGCCTGAAACTAGCTAGATTGGAACCTATGTTTCAAGAACGTAGTTCTCAATTCTTGCTTTCATAGGATAACCAGTTTGCATTTCATACGGATTGAGATTGTTTAATAGCATAAGTTCATCATAGTTTCTTTCGCGAAAACTGATCACTTATGAGTCATTATTTTGCAATATTTGTGGTTATAGGGTATAATCAAGCTCCATCATTTTGCAGGGTCATGAGATCAGATCAGATAAAGTCTTGAAAAGGCTTTGTGATCTTTGTGTACCAAACCAAAGAGGAGAATAGGCGACTGGTTCCTTCCAGCCACAAAGCTGATGACTACTTTTCCTTCAATAAGTGAACAATTGCTTAGGGCAAAAGCAAGTTTGCAACGTACATCATGACCTTCCCTGTGAGCCCTGGTTGCCTCTCAAAGAGGAAAGGAGAGGGGGAATAGTCAGCGACGGATCCAGGACAGGGTAGAATATTAGGCCACTTTTGAAAAAAGATGGAGATGGCTGGGCCGTAAGGTGAAAAACACTGAAACGAATACCAAAAATTGGAAATTACAAGTGTTATATGTTAGAAACAAAGTTTCTAACGGATTTGATATTTGGGGATTAGGGTTTATACAAATAGAATTAGGGATTGAGATTGGAGATTTGGGGAAGAAGAAGAATAGAATAGAGAATCGGCCGAGGCCTTGGAGGGATAGGGATCGAGAATTGAGAGGATAGGGAGAGATTAGGGTTTAGGAGATTATTTGATAATTCTTTCTTGACTGATCGTAACGTAGACTCAAAGTACATATTTATAGGGAATACTAGGAAACCCTAAGAATAAACCTAATTCTACTAGTAGACTACTAACCATAATAGGAATTACCCTAATAATAATTATAACCATAAATATAGAAACCCGATATAAATCGGTTTCTAACATCTCCTCCCCCTTCAGACCAACCTTGTCCTCAAGGTTGACCGACTGGACCCACTCTGCCACGTCCTCCGGGTAATTCACATCCTTCTTGCGTTTTCTTTTCTTCCAATCGTGCTCCAACTCCGAAATTGGGCTTCTTCCACCGACTTTCTTGTGTTGAAGTAATTCTTCGACTTTCACTTCTATGGGCCCACTAATCGCTTTGAACTTCAGCAGTTCCTCTCTTGTTGTCATCCTGCTCCAACCACTAACAAAGTTTAAGGATACTTCCTCGTATAGGAATTTATCATTAAGTGCCAATTCCTCAAGGCCCCTGAACTTCTTTCTTGGAGAAGGCTCATAAGCCTGTATTAAAGCTTCTCCAATTGCTTCTGGGCCATTCTTCCTTGAAAGCCCACCCACTAAGCCTCCAAACCCTTCTTCTAATTTCACCTTTCTCAACCCATAGCCCATGTTGGGCTCACACCCTTCCTGACTCTCATGGCCCGAGTCGAGCCCACCAACTCCCTCTATCCTTGCCACCCCACTACCAAACTGGCCCATTTGTGACCCAAGAAGTAGGCCCACTAACCCCTTATCGCAGGTCAACCCAGTCTGCATTGTGTCTTCCTCAAACTAGACCACTCCATTGAGCCCATTAGAGCCTGCGGCCCGCGTCACTCGGCCCAACAATGGCTGCTGGTACGGCCAGCCCAAAGTGGGCGAGCCAGGGTTCTTGAGAAGGGAGCAGTCGCCGCTGCCCTCCTCCATCTCCCTCTTTGTCCTCTTCTCAGGCCAACAGCTCATCCGGTGTGACTCCCCTCGTGCATCCGGCGCCACCTCCTCGTCGATGGCCGCCACCGACTTCCTTGCTTCCCCTTTTCGCTCGCGGCGAACCACCTGATCAGCCATCCCTCTGCTTGTCGCCCGCGCCGTCTCCACGACTCCCACCGGCCTGTGCGCCTGCTTCTCCAGCTCCTTCATCGGCGACAAAAGGGTCCCGCCGCCGTCGTCCTCGCCCTCATTCTTCTTCTCCCTCTCCGGCGACGCACGAGGAAGCTCCTTGCCGTCTTTCGTCGTCACCGCCTCCTCGTCGGTCGACGCCGCCTCCGCAGCCGAGCGCTCCCCCGCGTTGCCGTCCTCTTCTCCGCGCGCCGTCGCGCGCCCCTCGGCCGCGGCCCTTCCGTCCACGCCGCCGCCTTCCGCCCCGCTCGCCCAGACGCGCGAGCCGCGTCCCGCTTCGTCGCCTCGGTCGGCGTCAGCGAGCGCCGCCAGCCGCGCGCCCTCCTTCTCTGCCGCGGCGCCTCGCGCCGACTCCCTCTTCCAGGAGTTCGCGATTTGCCATAACTCTTCTTGCAACTGGGCCCATGGCTGCTCTGATTTTTCCATCGTCGATTCTCCGGTTTCTAAGCTGTCCCTGATGGAGTTGAGAAGAACTCACCGATTGGAACCGGGCTCTGATACCAGATGTTAGAAACAAAGTTTCTAACGGATTTGATATTTGGGGATTAGGGTTTATACGAATAGAATTAGGGATTGAGATTGGGGATTTGGGGAAGAAGAAGAATAGAATAGAGAATCGGCCGAGGTCTTGGAGGGATAGGGATCGAGAATTGAGAGGATAGGGAGAGATTAGGGTTTAGGAGATTATTTGATAATTCTTTCTTGACTGATCGTAACGTAGACTCAAAGTACATATTTATAGGGAATACTAGGAAACCCTAAGAATAAACCTAATTCTACTAGAAGACTACTAACCATAATAGGAATTACCCTAATAATAATTATAACCATAAATATAGAAACCCGATATAAATCGGTTTCTAACATTATACTAGCTCGAGATCCAGAGGAGGGCTGGGCCGCGGCCCGAAGCGGCCCCTTGGATCCGCCGATACATTTGTGTGGTGGCTAGCTGTCTCTCAAGGTGACACGCGGCGGATTGCCATATTCCCGACGATTATAGAATCGAGTGGTAGCTGCCACACACCAAGTTATATGCGCCAGTGGGGATGCCATTTGATTTTAGGGGAATGTCCAACCAAAGAAAGATGAACAGTGTATATAAGACGTCTGGTGAAAGACGAAAGAGAGCAAGCATGCAATCAACCAAACAAACCTAAAGTGGGATAGTGGTGTCCTTATTTCTCAAATATATCAAGAGAAGAAGCAAATGAACTAATTACTAGATAGAGTAAGGTTATCTGGATCTAATTATGATTTTCATTCTCCAAACAATGAGTATGAGGTTTAGTCGCTTGCAATGCAGTCAAAAGCGCGATTCTACCTAAAAGCGGAAAAGGGGTAAAATCGAAAAGCGGCGAATCAAAGCGTAAAAGCGTAAGTTTTTTATGCATCATGTATAATAGTGAAAAATCTGTTAAGTACAACATGTATTATGCAAAATATGAGTGCATGGAGTTTAGACAAGTGAATAAATACATACAATTCATGTCCAAATTAAAGCAAATTCATAACATCTTAATAATAAGTTCATAAACATAAACTGTAACCCACAAACGAGTTAATAACCAAATTCTCACAACATTAGCTTCACATTCTGCCCTTGGTTTCTCAAAGGTTCAATTAGAAACACCACATATACATAATTTAGCAGTAGCATACGTAGGTAAACCAGTAGGTTATACGCCTATTGGAAATTATAAGTAGTTTCCTTCATTTTGCTGGGTTAGTTTAAATTATTGAGAATGTGTGATTTGTAATTTAGCTAGAAATACCTGCTAGGTTATATGTTCAGGGTGGACTAAGAGTTGAGAAGGGGAAGCATTTACCCACCATTTACGAGTCATAGGTGAAGTGGCGACGGGGTAGGACAAGATAGAGACAGAAACTAACATGGTGTGGCGCAGCGAGTTGCGACAGGCGAGGACGAGTGCGACGGGTGTTGCCGCGTTGGAGCTATCGAGTGCGACGGGCTAGAGCTTCGCTGGAAGGTGGCGACGGCGGTTGCGGACTTGCAGCGGCGGCGAATACTTCACTAGAAGGCCGGCTGCGCGGCGGCGCAGAGTGTGCTGGAGTGCTGGAGATGGAGGATTAGGGATTGCGGAAGAGTGGTTTGGCAACCTCAGCCTAATATCCATCCCTTCCCCCCCCCCCCTTTTTTTTGTCCGAAGTGATCAAAATGGCGTCGTTTTTGTTTGGCGGAGACAATTTTTTCCTTTGCTTGGAATCGGATAAAAACGATATGAAAGCGCGCTTTTATCTGATTTTAACGATTTTAACGATTCTACTAATGCTTTTGACTGATTTTGAGTAAAATACGATTTTATTAGTGATTTGAAACGTTTTCCTACCCTAGAAACGTAAAATCGTACGATTTTATGCTTTAAAACGCGATTTTGACTACATTGGTCGCTTGGGTATGCTTTCTAGTCATCTTTCTTCCAAGCTGTAGTTTATAGTTGTTTATCACTCGGTTCCATGAGAGTAGGATTTATAATCCAAATGTAGGATCTATAAACTGTGTCCGTGTTTGGATTTCTGTCCCGAGGGGTAGGATCTTGTTAGAAACCTAATTTTAGGGTTCTAACGGTCGGTTGATAAGATTGGGAATTGATAGATATTTAGGGATCGAGATAGAATTGGAGAAGAACATAATTGGGGATTAGGGATTTGGAAGAGGAAATTGGGGATCGAGGAGAAGAATGGCCGATGGCCTGGGGATAAGTGACGAATTTGAGAGAGATTAGGGTTTGAGATACTTTTCTGAATAATTGTTCTTGCTTGATTGATAATGAACCCTAGATTACATATTTATAGGAAAGATAGGAAAACCTAATAATAAATCTAATTCTACTAAAAAATTACTAACCATATTTAATAAAACCTAATAATAACAATAATGATAATTATGGTAGAAACCCCGTTTTCTTAAGGAAAACGCGTTTCTAACATCCCCTCCCCCTTGAGACCAACCTTGCCCTCAAGGTTGATCAACTCGACCCACTTCTTCCCGTCTACTGTGCAATCCACGCCGTGGCTCCTCCATTTATTGCGTTTTCTTTTCTTCCAATCGTGCTCCACTACTCGGACGAACCTCACACCCGCAACTCCGAATCCAACGAATTCTTCCCTATCCATGCGGCTCGTGTCACAACCATGGCCAGATGACTCTACACCCTCCTTTTCAAACTCAACAAAGTAAGAATCAGAGACTTGTTCTTCTTTAAGTCCATCATCTATGCCCATGAATTCATCTTCATTTTCTTTTAAGCCCAATCCATACAAAAGAGCCCATGAAAAACAACTCATGTTTGATCCAAGAATTAGCCCATGTGACTGCAAATCTTGCTTGAGCCTTGGCCTGCTTCGCTGCCTCCCCTTGGCCAAAGGAACCCCATCAAAACTCTTCTCACAGCCCGCTACACTTGACCCCACTCTATGCGGCTCCCAAAACCCCTTAGCCAAAATCCATTTTGGCCCAGGACTTGGCCCAATAGTGTAACTAGCTGCTAAACTTGGGCTCACTCCACTTCGCTGGAGCTGCTGTTTGTGGGAGGAAAGGAAACACAGCTTGTCGTTCGGGAACAAGAGACTGCCACCATCTTCCTTCTCCGGTTCCTCCAAGAATGCGGCAGTGGTGGTGGTGACAAACGCCATTGCAGTCCCGGCAGCGGAGTGCAGAGAAACCGTCGGCGATCTTAGCTCCGGCGACGAAAATTTTGCCCGATGGCACGGCGAATCACCCTCCTCGCCGGTCGATTCCTTTCCCTCGTCATTCCACGGGGGCTTCTCCATCGTGGCCTTCCTTTCCAGTGTCGAGCAGAGGGTTTCGCCATCCGTCGTCATGTCGGCTAGCAGCCGTGCCGCCTCCTCGCCTTTGTCCACAGGTGCTACTTCTGTTTGCTGCTCGAGCATCGGTGTCGCAGCTCTTCCCGGCATTACTGTGCCTCCCGACGGAGCTGCCGCTGTTCCGCTCGGCTGAAACGCTGGCGCGACCTCGCGCCCTCCTTCAAAGACTCGCACTGCTCCACCACCACCGTCTTCTGTTTGCGCGGTCGTCGACTCTTCGGAGCTCCAATGGCTTCCTATGCGGCGAGCCTGTTCCCGCAGTTCTGCCCATGACATGTCCGAGAGTTGGGAAGAACTTATCGACGAACGAGATGTAGAACTCCCCGATTGAGAGTTGTGGTGAACTCAATTCTCGAACCGGTCTCTGATACAAAATGTTAGAAACCTAATTTTAGGGTTCTAACGGTCGGTTGATAAGATTGGAAATTGATAGATATTTAGGGATTGAGATAGAATTGGGGAAGAACAGAATTGGGGATTAGGGATTTAGAAGAGGAAATTGGGGATCGAGGAGAAGAATGGCCGACGGCCTAGGGATAGGTGACGAATTTGAGGGAGATTGGGGTTTGAGATATTTTTCTGAATAATTGTTCTTGCTTGATTGATAATGAACCCTAGATTACATATTTATAGGAAAGATAAGAAAACCTAATAATAAATCTAATTCTACTAAAAGACTACTAACCATATTTAATAAAACCTAATAATAACAATAATGATAATTATGCTAGAAACCCCGTTTTCTTAAGGAAAACGTGTTTCTAACATATCTATATCTCAATTTTTCATGGTATATATGTGGATTTAAAGTGGCAAGATCCACCAGTATTTGGCTACTTATATCGATAAGGGAAAGGGTGTGCACACAAAATTAATTCGATATAGTTTGTCAAGATTCTATCGTTTATTATTTGGAAAGAAAGTTGTACATATAATAACTCGATGGTTGTTTTAAATTATTTGAAGACCTGAGAGATAAAGAATCTTACATTGAGAAATTATATCCGATTTAGAGCATGAATTTTATCGAAAATAAAAGTACAAAGATATGATCATTTTATAACAAGAGAGCTATTAATTAGATAATATGAGATTCAATAATCATCCTAAAATTTAAGGGACATAAAAAGAAGAACCTTTTGCTCAATCTCACACAATTCACGATCGAGTCCAGTAACATATATATGTAGACACAAATTATTTTGAACCAAACATGGAACACCCAACATTTCATCAAAATAAGAACTAAGTGCATGAATTATGAAATGGAGAAACTACCATTAAGTGCTTGGGTTGAAGAACTACAAACTAGATCTAGAACTGATAATGGAACTGGTAAGATTCTACATAGGAAAAATACAGCCGATGAAAAAGGATTTGGCTGGGAATCACTCATCTTAGCATCATCCCCTAATAGGGGTTTTCTCCCCGTTAATTGGATAAGATATTGATAAATAATGGCCAAAATTGGGGCCACAAAAACTTAAAAAGGGGAAGAAAATTACTCTACATAAGCTAATTATATGGGTAAATCATGACCCAAATTGATAATAATCTCTACTACTATATATATCTTAAACCTAGCTGCTGGGGACTTGTTTCCAAAATCTTGCTGGGAGTCCATTCATTGGTACTGGAAATGGGCAGTTCTGTGTCCCACTCTCAGATCCTACCACTTCCCACCTGCAATATCCAATTGAATTAGCTAGGACATATATAAAAGCACCAAAAAATCAAAATATATTCCAAATATTTTTGTTGCTCCAGAAATATTCTCCAAGATCTTCTTTTTTTTAAACTTCATATGAATGTTTTTACCTGAACTTGGTGACCAAATGGTGGATGAAAATAAGCATCTCCAGCTTAGCAAGCTCATTTCCAGGGCAGGCATGTACCCCATTGCCAAATGGCATAAATGTATTGGGTTTTGGTACCACCTGTAGGGAAACAGGTTAAAACTGAGATCAATATCCCCACATCTCCAATATCATTTTGGGAAGGAGGGAAAAAAAAAAAAAAGATTTGATCCACACACAATCACAGATACATTGATACATACCTCAAATCTCGAAGGATCAAATTTATGAGGTTCACTGAAATATTCTGGATTGTGATGAATGTTCCTGAACAAGGGCATCACCTTCCAACCCTTTGGAATAAGGTAACCTAAAAATAGCACACACAAACACACACACAAAAAAAATCAAATCTCAATCACGGATCACTCTCCATAATACCAAAATAATGCCACAAAACATTAACCCCATTGGCCATTGGTTGTTATCTCATCTCAATCTATCTCTAAGGTATAACGAGTTGTGTTATAGTCGATTTTGTGATATTCCAAATTATTCGTATGTCATACTGACCAACCTCTCTATATATTGTGATGTATCAACCAACTCATTATGTGTGTTTATATAGTAAAACTTTGTGAAGGGTACCTTTGTATTCCACGTCGGCCACCGCTTCCCGGAATGTAAAAGATATAATGCTTGCTATCCTTAGGCTCTCTAAAACCACCTGAAATCATTTGTTAGCTAATAATTAGTAGCATAGAATCAAGTAACATGCAAAATTGGTTCATAAATTACTTATTAACAATTTTTTTAGGTTACCTTGTGAGTGAAGGGCATGTCGTTACGAGTTTGACTCCAATTCAACGCCGCATTATCATTGCCGTCCCTTCCATTCACCTCCTGAATTGCCTTCTGTTCGGCCTATATATGCAACAGCAGAGTTTATTCTAATGCTATGCAACAACGAGAGATTTCTAGAGCTACGTACACCGCCACCCAAAATCAAAAAACGAAGCGGCGTCGTTTATTACCTTGACAGCCTCGAGAAGCTTCGGGTTGTCGTGGAGGTACTTGACAATCCACGTCATGGCGCTGGCCGTCGTGTCCTGAGCGGCGAACAGAGCTCCGATGACGTTGTCGGCGACCTGGTCGTCCGTCAGTACTTGCCCTTTGTAGTCCTTGGAATTCAGCAAACAACCCAACACATCTTTCTCCAATACCTTCTTCTCTTTCCTCTCCCCGATTATGCCCCCCATTATCTCACTCAGCTCCCTCCTCGCCTGCAACATATATTATTATCATCATTATAAATAAATATCCACCACAAACAAAGTGTACATTTAACTAAATAATATATTTTATCTTACGTTGTTGAGTAAAATCAAAAGAATCACATATCTTGACTCTTGATCAGTAAGAAAATGATATCTAAATTTTAAATTGACCGGAATTTGGAACATGATACAACAATCGACGATCATGATTTTTGAAAATAAATACAACAAATTACATGCACAATTTTAGGGGGGTGTTAAAGTCTATAATTTAGAATTAAGATTTAGAGTTCACTCATCGAGATCGAATTATGATATAATATCATGCCTCGAAATCCGATTAATTTAAGATTTAAATAGTATTTTCTTATTAAAGATATGTCGTATACGTTTTACTCAATCGTATCGTATGATAGAAATCACTATATATATATGGCAAAGGCTAGCGTACGTCAATCGTACGCTGTACGCCTTTGTTCACATTAGAAAAATAATTATTAAATAATTTTTATTCAATTAAGTAGATTAATTATAATAATGATTAGAATTACAACCACATCAATTAATTAATTGTTGTTTATGTTTTAGTCCCCATCCAACTATAGAAATTTATTTTTCCAACTCGTCTTCTCCGCCTGTCCGGCGTCTAGAGACAGTGGCGCGTGGACGGGAGAGAGGCGGAGAGCAAAGGCATCCCGGATAGAACCCCAATTCCAGTCCGATATCGGCGACAAGAGGTAGCGGCGCGCTGGATAGGGGAGTGGCGGAGAGCAGAGCAGAGGCATCCCCGATATAACCCCAATTCTAGTCCGATGCCGGTGACAGAGGGCCGACAATCCACTCCATACTCGACTGCAGAGGCATCTCGATTGAACTCCAATTCGAATCCAACTGCAATCCACCTCCATACTTGGCTCCCAGTTAACTATTAATGAATAAGCTCCGTGAACCCCAATTTTCATGTTCTTTTTTCACTCTGTTTATCAGGAACAGAACTTGGCAATTAGCGGGATCAACACCAAGGCTAGACCAGGATCTCCAATACATTGTCCGAATAGTTATTTCAATTGGGTTTGTTCTTGAATCCTTTGACGCAGTCTCACCAAAATCTCTATGCTCTCCAGTTCGAGGCAGAGGCGAAGGGCTGAGACTATGAGAGGCTGAGGATCTAGCGGGAGTGGAGGGTCGGCGGAGGGGAGGCAGAGGTGAGGGTGAGCTCCGGTTGCCGGAGAGAAAGAGGAAAGTGCGCCGAGGGCTCGACAGAGTAGGGGTTTAGTTAGTTTAGGATTGAAATTTATAATTATTGTGGGACTAAAATATACACAATTTTTTTATAATGGATGCGGTTGTAATTTGCATGGTTAATTATAATTAGTTAACTTATAATTAAAATTAATTTATCAGGTGTGAACGCAAGCGTACAACGTACGACTGACGTACGCTAGCCTGAACCATATATATATATATATATTATTTTTGTTGGACTCACGGTAAGCGCCCTTTTGTAAGGAGTTCCAGGAACGGTGGTGGGAAACGAATTGTAGCCTTTTTCGACGATGCCGTAATTCCTTTTTAACTCCACTCTGTAATGCTCTTCCAGGTGTCCGAAAATCGCCAGGATCCCGACTTCAAACGACAACTGAAAAATAACAATGCAATGGGGTTAAAAAAAAATATATATATATCTTTACCGACGTACAAAACAAAGTTACCGATCCGTCCGTCAGTAAAAAAAAAACAACAAAAACCTTTTTGAGCTCTTCGAAGGTGTTGATGACGTGTCCGCCGTCCCATTTCTCGAGGGCGGAGGCGGCCAGGGAGGAGACGTCGTTGGCCAAGCTGCGGGTGGCATCGAGGGAGAGGGCGCGCTGGACGAGCTTGCGGAGGCGGAGGTGGTAATCGCCCTGGTGGAAAAACAGGGCGGCAGGCCCAATAAGCCGCTCCTTGGACTTGGGGTACGTGGGCCGGAAGAGGTGGGCCTGGGTGACGAGGACGAAGCGGGCGGCCTCCGGGCTGGCGAGCATGACGCAGGGGCAGCCCAGGATGTGCGTTTTGAAGATCTCGCCGTGCCGTTTTTGCTTGCTGGAGAAGAAGGAGGTGGGGTCCTGGGAGTAGAGCTGGAGCGTCTCGCCGATGATGGGCCAGCCCATGGAGCCCGGCGGGAGGTTGGGCCGTCGGCGGGCTTGGTTGTGGGAGACGGGCCTGCGTCTGACGAGTTTTAGGAATAGGTGGTAGGTGAAGAGAGTTAGAAGGAAGGTGGGTGCGGCGATGTAGAGAATGAACGTTCCATTGGCCATGTCTCGGTGTTGGAATAAAACGCTGGAACTTTGGAGGTGAAACGGCAGAGACTTTGTTTTTCTGTGTGTGTGTTGATTGTGGTCGCTGCGAGGGAAATGGGAAGGGCGTCCTGGGGTTTATATAGGGAGGGGGAGAGTGAGGGGATGAAGACAAAGGACGAAAATGATACAAGTAAAGCAAGCAATATAATGGTCCCTCAATTTTTGTGATTGGTGGCTAAAGGGAAAATATAAAGGAAAATAAAAGTGAATTTCAGATATGGAGGTCCTACTAGAGGCTACAAACCCACAAATGTCTTTGATATTTTTGGCCACATTTTTAGGACAAAATTTTTTGTTTGAGTTTCACTAGGATAAAAAGAAGGAAAATGAAATTACCATTGTTAGGGAATATTCCTAGTTGATTACCCAAATGGAAAGTTCAAGTAACTAAACTTAGAGGTACCACATATAGTTAGTAAGAAAATGAGATTTAAATCTTCAATTTGGATGAATAAGATTTTTCGATTATTGTTCATTATTTGATTCGTGGTCTTTAATTCCTCATAAAATTTTATTAATAGTATTTATCCTTTATGTAATCTATGATGCATCTCTTTTAAATTATAAACGAGACATATATGATCATGCACTCAAATTCTTAAAAAATTATATGTGGTGAGATATGTAATCTAACAAACATATGAATTATCAACAAGCCAATGATAAGCTATTAACCTATTAACTCATAATTAAGTAGCTAGTTGAGGTGGCTCGCTAGTCATACTGTCGAGCCAGCTCATACCTCAAAACAAACTAGCCCACGAGTTGAACTCAACAAGTCGCCGATTCGAGGTGGCTAACAAGTGTTGCAAGTCGAACAAGATTTTTTAGCTCAACCTCGCCTCGTTAGTAAACAAGTTGAGTGTCAAACGAGCTTATCGTCACGAGCCGAACGACGAGCCGGTTGTGAGCAGTTTTGCTCATTTGCAGCCCTGTGCCGTTCTGCTACTGCGGATAACACCTTGCATCTTAATTGATTGAGAGAAAAATAAAAATGGTACGTAAAACCTAATTAATTTAGTATCCACTACTTCAGAATTTGGCATATGTTTGGTACATGCATTACCAATGAATTTCACTGCAAACCACGTCATTGAATTAATTGTTGTTAGAAATTAGGGTTGAGATTATGATAGCACGTCTAGTTAAGCCGGTCTTCATCAAGAAGCCTCTGCAAGACTAAATACAGTAGCAATGCAGCATTACTTCGGTCGGCCTTTAATAATCCCACATGACGAATTGGACGAAATCTGCTAAATATAGGCAAGACAGCTAATCGACATTTGCACCGCCATGAGTATGTATGATTAATGACATAACACAATTATTGATAGCAACCTGTTGCTATCGGGTTAGGGTTTGCTTGTAACTCACAAGCGGGAGTACGACGTAAAGTGTCGAAAGACTGTTTTTAGGTTTATTCTTGATTGCTTTATTCATTTCCCGGACTAATGCCGTAGTTACATATTTATAGACAACTAAACCTAATACGTAACCCTAACTTTAGCCAAACCCTACTAGGACACCTAAGCCACTCGGCCACCTAAAGACGAGCTAACTTCTAACCCAACTACTTACTCGGCCCATGCAACTATCATACGTACTAACCCTAAACAAGCTAACATAAATAAGAACATAACATAATTAAAGCAATTAACTCCAAAATCCCACCAATCCGAATGGGTTGCTATCAATTATATATATAATCCATTCCCTCCTAGAAATACCTAGCGTTTTCTTTCTTGACTTTTCTTAATTAATTTCCCGACAAAAAGATTAATATCTGCCTCATTACGTGTACACTGTTTAACGTAAAGTTTAATTTTTTGGTGCTTTTCTTGATTAATTCTTTGAATAATTAACGAGGAATCGGGTCCACCGGCGTTTCCTACTAAAATATTTATCGGTGCACCGGAGTCCAGACGACCATTTCCCTCCGTCGTCACCAGGCGAGGCACTGTTCTGTTACTAGTCACTGTCAAAGCTAGCTGGATTGTTCGACACTTGTCCCGACCAGATTAGTGCATTTCAAGATACGGTGGTACCCACTTGGCTTCTTTGTCCCTCGTAAATAATTTCCCCTCGCCTAGAAGAATTTGGTAATGGGATAAGATCGGGTGAATAAGGGGGGTTCCCTTAGTCACTTGCCTAAATCAATCTCAGTTATTGGGATTCATTAAAATTTAATGGCTCAAATTAATCTACTTTAATGAAGGGTAAGGTAGTAATTACATAATTTATTTATTTAATAATTAAAATAATAAAACTCACCTGCCTCGTTCCTTCCTCCGTCGGTCCATTTTTGGGAAAATTCCCGTCGGCGGCTATTTTTGGGAAAGCTTCCCCATGGCCACCATTTTCCCAGGCCACCATTTTTGGTGTGGCGGAGAGAGAGAGAGAGAGAGAGAGAGAGAGAGAGAGAGAGAGAGAGAGAGAGAGAGAGAGAGAGAGAGAGAGAGAGAGAGAGAGAGAGAGAGAGAGAGAGAGAGAGAGAGAGAGAGAGAGCTTTTCCGGCGACGGCGGAGCAATTTTCCGGCGACCAGAGACGGTGGTGGATGGATTTCCGACAACAGTATTTGAGTTCGTGATGTTTGTAATGTTTATATTACTATTTTGTATACATTGTAATGTTTGTAATGTTAGTAATGTTTGTTTGTCTAGTTTGTATACTTTATGTTATGATTTATACACTTTCTATTCATTGATTTGTATTTGTAACTTTTGTTATTCAAGTTTGTATACTTTTATGTTATGATTTGTATACTTTGTATTCATTTGTTTGTAATACAAGTTTACCAATCTGTATTGTAAGTAGTGATATTCTGTACGTGTAGTATGCTTTGTACTGTTTGTAATGTTTGTAATGTTTGTTTGCAATGTTTGTAATGTTTGTTATTTTGTAATGTTTGTAATGTTTGTTGGTTTCTTTTGTACTGTTTGTAATGTTTGTTATTTTTGTCCACATTTTTGTCAACCATGTTTGTAATGTTTTTTGCATCACAAATCAATACATATAAAGTATACAAATTATTAGTACTTACAATACAAAGCGAAACATACTAAGAATACAAGCAAAACATACTAAGAATACAAACTGTCAAAGAAAAACATACTAAGAATACAAACTGTCAAAGAAAAACATACTAAGAGTACAAACTGTCAAAAAAAACATACAAACCATACTACATTTTGTACAAAAATACTAACAATACAAACTAATGTTACAAAACATACAAACTATACAAATCACTGTTCTTCCTTCAGACGATGTCTCTCCACCGCCGCCGCCGCCGCCGCCGACTCTCTCTACAGCCGTCGTTACCTCTGTTTTCCCGGCAACAAATCTACTTTATCTCTCTTCCACCGCCTCCGTCGCGATCGTCTTTCCCTCTCTCCATCGTCGCCGACGCGGTTGAGATCTCCTCGCCGTCGCCCCCCTCTCTTCCACCGTCGACGTCCTTCTCTCCCCGCTGCTGCTTTTCTCTCTCTCTCCTATGGCCTGCAATGGCGACGCAGAAGAGGATGACTGGAGGAAAAATCGCGATCTCCTTTCCCTCTCTCCACCGTCGGCGGCGCCGTCGAGATCGTCGACTTTCTCTCTCTCATCCGCCGGCGTTGCAATCTGTGTTTCCTCCGCCATGGCTCTCTCTCTCTCTCTCTACATCACAAAAAAGGGAAAGTAAGGAGACGTGTTGCAGAGGAAAAAAAATTCAATAATAAATAAAACAAAATTAAAAAATAGGAGTTAATAAATTATTGATAATACCAAAACTACCCTTCTTATTTAATAATAATTGATTGAGTTATCTGGACCATCAGATCAATCCAAGGGCTGAGGGGGGCTTAGTCAAGTGACTAAGGACCCCCCCTTAGTCACCAGATCCGGACCCTTTGGTAATCGCTACTAGGCGGTTACACGTGTACGTGGGACTGACCGTCGACGACGTTCGTCCTTAATTAGGTATGAACACGGAGCCTTGAGAGGTAAGTTACATACGCTAACTTTTACTTGATGAACTTTCTCGTTCCCCTTTCGTGGATATCAATAGTATCATTTATAGCTGAAAAGTAAAACTGCTACCCCAATTCAAAATTTCCTGCTCTTAGAGTAAATTTCGGAGGCTGACCTGGCAGCCAATTCAGGCGGGCTTTCTCCTCTTTCGTAGATTGTAACCGTCCTCCTCCCTCCCTCTTTCTCTTTCCTTCCTGCATCAAATTATGCTCCTAGCTATATTGTCCTCCAATCTGCCATTTGATCTTCTTGCAACAGCGATTTTAAGATGGATAGGAGTTTTTGGGTTCTGACGCTGCGACTTCTCTTCTCTCGGGTCTGAAGGAGTGCGGTGGAATTGACAAAGGCTGGAGGGTCCAAATTGGTTTGTGGGACCGAGGAGTTGAGGTCATCTGAACCAGGTAGTCCGCTAACGACCGATGGTGGCAGGGTGGCAAACTAATTTCTATTAACAGGGTCGCCGACTTCGAGTCTAGCCGTCAATTTCTACGTTGGAGGTTTTCACGGCTGCTGCTAGGGTTCTTCAGTAGTGTTCCCTTTTTATTGCTTTGGTATCACACGCCTGTTATTTCACCAAAATGTATTGTGTTGTTCTTATGGAATCTAGCTTGGTTTTGGGTGTGTCACAAAACCAAGCTCCTTGCCGACGGGAAAAAGGAGTCGTGCAAAGAGCAGAGGGAGCAGGAGCAGTAGTCGACAAGGAAGCAACAGCCAATTCCAAGGAAGATATCGGCTGAGTAGGTGAATTGAAATTCAAACTGGACAGAATCGAACCTCGGTGTGGGAACATGTTGGCCTTTGCTTTTTAATGTTCCTTGGTTCCTCTGTCCAGCTTCAAGGTAAATGGCTTCTTTTGATTGGCCAGAACAATTGCTTGCTTTCGTTGTTCATGTCAATTGAATAATGCTTAAGGAGTTTCATTTGATCTTATTTGGGAATTTATGTTGTTTACTGAATATGTATGCTTAATTGTCTCTGATGAATGTTTCTGTTGCATATTATTCTGTTCATAGGCTGTACAGTTTCTAA